AGACGAAAAATGGATCAAGAAGATCTCAAAGCCCCAGAGCCCATAAATCTAAGCGATGAAGAAAGAGCAAAATTTTCAGATGCACAGTTCAAAACACTGGTGATCAGGATCCTCACAGAACTGGTTGATTTTAGTCATAAATTAGAGGAACATATGAAGGCTAAACTAATTGAAATGAAGGGAATTGCACAGGAAACCAATAGTGAAGAAGAGGAAACTGGGACTCAAATCAAGGGAGCAGGCCAGAAGGAAGAAAATAATGGTCAAACAGGAAAATATGAAGGAACAAGAATTCTAAAAAATGAGAAGAGATGTAGGAACCTCCAGGACATCTTTAAACATTCCAACATCCAAATTATACGGGTACCAGAGGGGGAAAGGAATAGCCACCAGTGGAAAACTTATTTGAACAAATAATAAAGGAGAATTTCCCCAATCTGGCAAAGGCAATAGACTTCCAGGAACTCCAGGAAGCTCAGAGAGTACCAAAGAAGTTGGACCCAAGAAGGAACACACCAAGGCACATCATCATTACATTACCCAAGATTAAAATGAAGGAGAGAATCCTAGAAGCAGCAAGAGATAAGGGGACTGTCACCTACAAAGCAGCTCCCATCAGACTGTCAGTGGATTTCTCAAAAGAGACCTTACAGGCAAGAAGGGGCTGGAAAGAGGTATACCAAGTCATGAAATCCAAAGACCTACAACCAAGATTACTCTATCCAGCAAAACTTTCATTTATAATGGAAGGACAGATAAAGTGCTTCTCAGATAAGATCAAATTCAAGGAGTTCATCATCACCAAGCCCTTATTGTATGAAATGTTAAAGGGACTTATCTAAGAAAAAAAAGATAAAAAATATGAACAATGAAAGGACAGCAAACTCAGTTATTAAGAACCACACCCAAAACAAAAGCAAACTAAAAGGACAGCTAGATCAGGAGCGGAAACAGAAATGAATATCTCATGGAGGGTTAGCAATAAGGGAGTGGGAGGAGAAGAAGGGGGGAGAAGGTACAGAAAATAAGTAGCATAGATAGTAGACAGAAAATAGGGGGGAGGGTAAGAATAGTATGGGAAATATAGAATCTAAAGAACTCGAGACATGTAGTCATTAACTAAAGGGGGAGGGAATGGTTAGGGAGGGGTGTGCAGGGTGAAAGGGAATGAAGGGGGAATAGAACAACTGTAATGGCATAATCAATAAATTTTTTTTAAAAAAGGACATATGAACAATAACAAGGGGGATGGAAATGGGTGAGGGAGGTGGGGAGGGCTGGGATGGTGTGAAGGGGTGGGGAAAAGGAAGAAAGCTGTACTCAAACAACAATAAATTCTTTTAAGTAAACGTATTCTCTGATTGGCTAGTCTCACTGCCTAAGCCAGACAGTGATAGAAAAATACCATATGATCTCACCTTTAACAGGAAGCTAAACAAAACAAACAAGCAAGCAGAATAAAAACAAAGACAATGAAATAGAGAACAAGGGGACAGTGACCAGAGGGGAGAGGGAAGGGAATTTAAGGGGAAAGAAAGGGGAGGGATTTAGAGGAACAAGTATGAAGAACACAGGGACAAGAACTAAGGGGGGTGGAAATGGGAGGGAGGTGGGGAGCATGGGGCGGGGTGGGCTGGTATGGGAGAAATAGACAGAAAACTGTACTTGAAAAATAACTAAATAAAATTTTTTTAAAAGAGGAACCTCTTGAACAAAACCATCAAATGAGCAAAACAGAACCAGAGGCATGGAACAAGGAACAGACTGACAGCTATCAGAGGGAAGGAGGAAGGAGGTTAAGAGGGGAAAGAAAGGAAGAGGGTCTAATCAACAGACAGGTATAAATGACACATGGACATTGACAACAGGGTGGGGATTGACTGTGGGAGGAGGGTGGGGCAAGGAAGAGCAACAGTAATAGAACAAGAATTTAAAAAAAAGAAATTATATAATCTTTACAGCTGACAAATTTTGTTTTTACATTTTTGAAATTACACCTCTCCTTCTTTCTTAACCTCCTAGTACTGACTTTTCTACTATCAATATTTATCCTTACTGCATGCAACTTATAGCCAAGTAGAAAGAGTGGCAGAGGCTTGAAATCTCCTCCTCACATTAAGGTTTCTAACTCTAGGAATGTCTTTCATTAAATCAAAACAACTAATTAACTTCCTTGAAACAGCCTGTTTCCATTACTCTAGGGAAGGTGAAGATGAGATATCTAGCTTAAAGAGACTTTTAACTAGACTAGTGCTTTTTAAGTCAAGAAGCCATACAGTCGGACTTCCGCCAAGATGGAGGCATAGGTGGAAACACTTTGCTTCCTCGCACAACCAAATCTAAAAACAACAAAGTTTAACAATAATAAGTGCAACCAAACCACACAGAAAATTGAACAATACGGAGTCCGAAAATAACAAACCGCTCAGCTAAACCAGTGAGAGGGGCAAAGCCAGCAGCCAAGTGGGTCGGGCAAAAATGATCCCCCAACCTGGGCGGTGTGCAAGCAGCCAAGGGCATGGATCCCAGATGCAGGGTAGCTACAGGCGGACCCAGGGAAGACGTGGCGTGGCTGGCTGTCTGCAGTCAGATAAACCAGTGAAGAGACGAGTATTGAGACAGACCGCGCAGGCCCCAGCACAGGGCAGCAGGCTCACACATTTGTGCTCAGATAAACAGGCAGGAGCCAGCAGTGAGGCAGAGCAGGGGAGCTGAGAGGACCGCCATTGCTCCCTCTCTGACCCCACCCCCACATACACTATCACAAACAAGCGACCTGGGTAGCCCCGCCCTAGTGAACAACTAAGGCGCCTCTCCTCATATGTAACAGGCACAAACAGATAAAAACACGGCTCAAGAACAACTCAGGGCCCCAGAGCCGATAAATCTAAGTGATCAACTAATAGCCAAACTTTCAGATGTACAGTTCAAAACACTGGTGATCAGGATGCTCACAGAATTGGTTGATTTTAGTCACAAATTAGAGGAACATATGAAGGCTAAACTAATTGAAATTAAGGGAATTGCACAGGAAACCAATACTGATGGAAAGGAAACTGGGACTCAAATCAAGGGAGCAGACCAGAAGGAAGAAAAAAATGACCAAAAAGAAAAATATGAAGAAACAAGAATTCAAAAAAATGAGGAGAGGCTTAGGAACCTCCAGGACATCTTTAAACGCTCCAACATCCGAATTATAGGAGTACCAGAAGGAGAAGAGGAACAGTCACCAGTGGAAACCTTATTTGAACAAATAATAAAAGAGAACTTCCCCATTCTGGCAAAGAAAATAGACTTCCAGGAAATCCAGGAAGCTCAGAGAGTCCCAAAGAAGTTGGACCCAAGAAGGAACACACCAAGGCACATCATCATTATATTAGCCAATATTAAAATGAAGGAGAGAATCCTAGAAGCAGCAAGAGATAAGGGGACAGTCACCTACAAAGCAGTTCACATCAGACTGTCAGTGGATTTCTCAAAAGAAACATTACAGGCAAGAGGGGGCTGGAAAGAAGTATTCCAACTCATGAAATCCAAAGACCTACAACCAAGATTGCTCTATCCAGAAAAGCTTTCATTTAGAATGAAAGGACAGATAAAGTGCTTCTCAGATAAGATCAAATTCAAGGAGTTCATCATCACCAAGCCCTTATTATATGAAATGTGAAAGGGACTTACCTGAAATAAAGAAGCTAAAAAAGATGAACAGTGAAAGGACAGCAAACTCACAGTTCTCAACAACCACACCTAAAACAAAAGCAAACTAAGAGGACAGCTAGATCAGGAGTGAACCATAGAAATGGAGATCACATGGAGGGTTAGCAACAGGGGAGTGGGAGAAGGAGTAGGGGGGAGAAGTTACAGAAAATAAGTAGCATAGACAGTAGATAGAAAATAGATAGGGGGAGGGTAAGAATAGTATGGGAAATATAGAATCTAAAGAACTTGAGACACATGGTCATGAACTAAAGGGGAGGAAAGGTGGGGGAGGAGTGTGCAGGGTGGAGGGGAATTAAGGGGGGAAATAGAACAAAGGTAATGGCATAATCAATAAAATAAAAAATATATTAAAAAAAAGAAAAAAGTACCTGAACATGAGGGAGAGGATTCAGAAAAACTGAAAAATATCAATGTTTCATGCATTGTTCTTTCTGCAAATCTGGCCTGGTGCTCTAAAGATTAATATAGCAAAAAGCTAGCAGAAACTTTTCTTTATCACTATGCAAATATTCAATTTATAAAAAAAAGTTATATTGTCTGCCTGCATATTAAGAATAAAAATCACCAGTTTTTTTTAAAAAAAAAGAAGCCATACAGTCTCTGACACTATGAAATAGGGAAAAAGAGAAGCTGATTAAGGAAGGAGGAGAGTGAAACCAAATGACTTTTGTGTATTTTCTAAGTTTAGGCTGATTTAATTGGAAGTTCCAAATATCGTGAAGCCCCAGGTCAGCAGACATTGGGTTGTGCTTTACAGAGCATCGGTTTTGAATTATTTGCCCCAGAGCAAAGTTTGAGAAAAATTTTAAGGCATTTTTCACACATACTACATGGCCCATGGTTGTGATTTTGTGAATTGGCCATTTTAACATTTGGGTGCATTTTGGGGGAGGTGACCATAGCCTTTTATGTTATGTTGCATCTCTTCAGAGGAAATGTTACCTAATTCCTACGTACCCTCTATCTGCAGGACAGCTGTATTTGATAACAAGAAGTGGAATTACAAAATATGTTCATCTTATCACTTCTGTTTCATTCACTGTTGGAGGGAGGACTTTCCAGCGCCCTAGAAAGACCTCTGCAGCTGATTAAGAAAATAACAATTTAGTATTTATACAATTGATGTTATTTTAAAATATGAAAAAGTAGTTACCTTGAAGTTAAACTATTCTGTTTGGAATGAATAATATTTTATAAATACTTCATAGAACTAATGCTGCATTTTAAATGTTATAGAGAAATTTTTCTTAGAGAAAAACTGCTTCTTTTCTTTCCCTCAGGATTGTTATATCTCTTGTTGTTTTGTGAGTAATCTAATATGCAAATAGTCCTTGAAGAATCAAGCTAAATTTGAAGACAACTTAGAAAGATTGAAGAGTCTATCATGGAGTACAAAATTGATGGGAAAGAAAAATACCAACATAGCTTGAATTTACTGAATAAAATTAAGAACATGAAAGAATTGGCAGAGATGATTGATGTAGTAGTCATAGTAGAAGGAGAGAAATTTCCTTGCCACAGACTGATCCTGTCTGCTTTTAGTCCTTATTTCAAAGCCATGTTCACCTGTGGACTACTTGAATGTACTCAAAGAGAAGTCATACTTTATGACATCACAGCAGAAAGTGTGTCAGTTTTATTAAATTACATGTACAGTGCAGTTTTGGAGATCAACAATGCCAATGTACAGACTGTAGCTATGGCTGCCTATTTTATGCAGATGGAAGAAGTCTTCCGTGTGTGTCAAAAATATATGATGGACCATATGGATGCCTTCAACTGTGTGGGTATCTATTATTTTGCAAAGCAGATTGGAGCTGAAGATTTATCTGATCAGTCGAAGAAATATTTATATCAGCACTTTGCTGAGGTGAGCTTACATGAAGAAATACTAGAAACTGAAGTGCACCAGTTTCTGACACTTATTAAATCAGATGACCTTAACATATCCAGAGAGGAGAGCATTTTGGACTTAGTTCTGAGATGGGTAAATCATAACCAGGAATTGCGCAAAGAGCATCTTGTTGAGCTTTTGAAGCAAGTAAGATTGGAACTTATAAGTCCTTCTTTTTTAAGACAAGTCCTGAAAAAAAACACAATGCTTCTATGTGATGCAAATTGCATTGACATAATTCAAAACACTTTCAAAACCTTCAAGAAACCACAACAGCATCCTCTAAATCTTCGTTATGGCATGGAGACTACTAGTCTTTTGCTTTGCATTGGCAATAATTCTTCAGGAATCAGGTCAAGACATAGGAATTATGGGGATGCCAGTTTTTGTTATGATCCTGCATCACGGAAGACCTACTTTATCTCATCTCCCAAGTATGGGGAGGGTTTAGGATCTGTGTGTACTGGTGTTGTCATGGAAAACAATGCTATAATTGTGGCTGGAGAAGCAAGTGCCTCGAAACTCTCTAGACAAAAGAACAAGAATGTTGAAATATATAGGTTTGTATCTAGCATGGTATTTATGTTTGTTTTAATTACCTTGCTTTGACATTAGCAACAGTAGAAAAAATACTACTGAAAGAGTGATCACATCTTAAATTATATGTAGTCAATCCTGTAATATGTAAAATTCATAATTAAATCACCCATACTTAAAAACCTTTCTTTCCCTTTGTTAAGGACATATCATTGAATTTACATAAGCTAAATATATGTGTGTTTTGTTTCCATTGTGTATCTTTTCATTCTTTCCTTATCAATATACTTTGTTTTTGAAAAGCTTGATATAACTTTTAACTGGAAGAAAAATGTATTACCACTGACTCATTTGAACTTATTTATTTTAGTTCCTACTCCAAAGTAGTAATTTTTTCTCAAATAAAAATTACTAATTATCTGTCACATTTCATTCTGTATCCTTAATGTGTGCATCTTCCCTAAACCTCCAATAGTATAAAATGTTTGTAGCCTAGTAAGAGTGCTTCACTCCTGGAAATGTAAGAGAAAAAAGAGTGTCTGCTAAGAAGTAGCTTATCACCTAGGTCTTGTATGTGAGGACGCATACATTTGTTTACTATTTATTCAGCAAGTATTCAGCTCTTAGATCTACCTGGCTAAATAATAAATATATACATGAAATACATAATAAATAGTAAAGCTCTCCTTCAATATCTTTCTCCCCTCAGTTCCCTCTTACCAGAGTTCATTATGAATTTTCAGTCAAAAAGCAATTTTTGTGAACAGTGATGTTAGGTTAAAGAAATAATTAAGAGATCTACTGTCTTTCTGTCATCTCCTAGTATCCCATTATCTGTTTCAAGCTATAGGCCTGTCCCTTTTTCACATTCATCCTTTGGATACATGCTTCATCTTCCCTAGTAGAGAGAAGGGAGGGAATGTAGAGCCCTAGATAAGTGACCTGGACCTATGCCCATTGTGGCAGAGCATGTCACTGAGTAGAAGGAGCAATCTTCTTCAGAATTACCATGATTTCAATTTTTTTTCTTTTGGGTTATCAAATCTTAAAGGAAGAGGAAGCTTTGGCTTCCCCAGCATTGTTCTTATAGGTCCATGCCACTTGTTTATTTGGTCCCGGGCTTTTTGGCCCTTCTTTCCATTTGAGAACCTCTTGTTACAAGTACCCTAGGTTCTTTAAATAGTTCTTTTTCTTTCTGATCAAATATAGTCTACAAAACTGCCACCAGAATTTATTTTTAATAAATGTCCAATCCTGTCAAAATTTGTTTCTATTTTGATCCCCAAACATTTTAAAACTTTTTTGAAAGTCTGCATCCCTTTCTTACAGCATATGTCTGACTGCATACCCTGATTTATCTTGAGTCAACCAGGTTCCCATCACCAACCAGCTCCTCCACATTGGTCAGAATTAGGGTAAAAGTATCAGTTTCCCTCCTCATTTTCTCTAATAATGAAATTGTCAGCAAGGCAAATAATGAAATAATCAGAAGCATTGCTTTGGGGTTAAATGAGACTTCCAAAAGATATCTGGAGAGTTAAAAATCTTATGTCAAGCACTACTGAAGATCACTTTAGTGCCAATTTTGTGGTATGTGTGAGAAATCATCATTATCTTGTGGTATATTCCTACTATATTACTTTTGTTTCTAAACCCTTTTGTTTTTACCTAGACACTCTTCAGTTTCCTTCTATTCTGTAGCTAATATATTTTCATGCAGATACATTTCTTTTTGACTTAAAAAAGGGACTTTAGTCCCTTTTAAGATACATTAGTTTGACTTAAACTAATACTCTAGTTGGTCATTTTTTTTCTAAAATGTAGACCTATCTCCTTTACTTATCTCCCATACTTTGATATGCAAATGGCCGAGGATATGTGTTGTTTTTAAATTATCAGCCTCTGAGAACATTGAATGATTTTGTCACTATTATTTTCTTTTTTATGACATACCCATTTTTCTTAATAAATTTTAGTTTTTTTTAAATTATGAGTTTACTTGAGCCAAAACAAGTAAAAATTGCCAGTTTTAGAAGCAAGATCTCAAATGCTCCCAAGTTTTATCTGGGCATTTTTTTCTCCATGTTTTCAGTTCAAACTGTTAAAACAAAAATCAGATTATCAAGTTGCCCAGTGAACATGTACATCCCAACCTTCATGGGATGCATTTCATTCTTGGCCTGTTTTCTTGAATCATGTCTCAGTAAATCAAACCATTTTTTTAGTTATTTGTATATATTCATTCATTGGCTTTACTTTAGTAGCTCTTACCTATATTTAGATACCTAATCCTCCTTTCTCTTCTGAAATTCAGTACTATTAAACATAGTGGTAGAAATATCACCTGTGATTCTAGAGACTCTGATTTCCTACCTAAAATTACCTAGAAGACACCTATCATAAGGTTTCATAAATTTCTGCATTCAATGTGTGACAAGCCAGGCATGCCCTATACAAAAGAAGCATAATCTTCTAACTTACCTGTCAAGAATGGGAAAGAATGAAAGAGTTAACCTAAAACATTTAAGAAAAACTCCTATAAATGTGATCAACTGTCAATGTTTGATGCAAAATAAGTAGTCTGTACTTTAAAATTATACTCGGTAGGGAACACACATATATAATTTCTACATTTGTTTCCAAACAGAACAATTTTTTTACTTCCCTGGCTTTTTTGTTCTGTTTTGTTTTGTTTTAGTTTTGAGTTCCATACACATTCTGGATTTTCTAGGAGAAATCTAATATTATATTTTGTACCACTGTCCCCATAAGTACTTTTGTCCTTCTCAGACTATGTCCCAAGTCATGACTGACTTAACCACTATCAAGAAGCAAGACAAAGGATAGCCACAAACTCATGTATTTAGTGACTATATAATGCTATGCATGCACAGATAATCAGTTATGTATGTATTGGACTTCTGGAGGTATTAAGAGATCTTATATCCTAGTGTCTCTGTCTCCTGGGATTCTTCTCAGACTGACATAATTACTCATGGAAGAAATTACTAAAATTACCATATCTATGGGATTAAAATAAATGTTAAATGCCTGACAAACATCTGCAGGTAGATTTTTATAACACCCACAAGTGCTCTTGATGTTGACCTAAGCCAATTAGAACTAAAAGAACAATTCTTAAAAGGCTACCCATATATCATCCCATTAGAAGTCTCTGAATTGAGATATTTTTAAATTCTCTGCTCTAAAATTTACTTCTTTAATTAGTATTAAGGTGAAACTTCTAGTCCACAGAATTAGACTTTTTAAATTTTTTTTTGTTTTCACTTATTATTCTCTCATGGTAAAATTACAAATGATTTGCTAAAAGAAAATCTGTTCTATCTTTGATATTTGTTCTTGATTTTCCTCCCCAGAATTAGGAAATGAAGGCTAGTCCTGGATAATCTGTACTTTTTCAATATACTATTTTTCCAAAAATTCTGCAAGTAGGTGTGGATAATAGCTTTTATATGCATTATATTTTTTCATCAGGCCTTTCAAAAAATAAAAAAATCTTGAAAACCTGTATCAGTGTCTTATAGTGATGTTTACTTCCTCTCAAGTTAGAAGAACTAAATTGTATTGTTTTTAGTTGGAAAAAAAGCTTAAGTGTGTTTCTTGGGTAAATTGTTTTCATGTTAACTCTAATCCTGAATTCTTTCTGCTATTTTACAGGTATCATGGTAGAGGAAACCAGTTTTGGGAAAAGTTATGCAGTGCTGAATTTAGAGAGCTCTATGCTTTGGGCAGTGTTCATGATGACCTCTATGTTATAGGAGGACAGATGAAAATTAAAAACCAGTATCTCATTACAAACTGTGTTGATAAGTACTCTGTAGAACAGGATAATTGGAAAACAGTGTCTCCCCTTCCACTACAATTGGCATGTCATGCTGTAGTGACAGTAAATAATAAACTCTATGTGATTGGAGGATGGACCCCTCAGGTTAAGAAATTTCCTATATACCTAACTGGCATGGCTATGCTGAGTCTCGCTGCTATGTTGAAAATGTTGTAGTTGTTCAATACTAAAAGAGTATGACTTGCATTTTGATTTTAAAATTATTTTATAAAATATTAAACTTAAATGTTAAAGTGTGAAATCAGTTTAGGAGAATAAAATTGTAAATTGTGTCATTCATAGCATGACTTCATTCAGTATTCAACTGTATTATTCATAATCCTTCCCATTTTACTAATTGTGAAAGATGCATATGCTGGTGGATTATCTGTAGGGAACATCTAAGGAGGAGGCAGAGAAGCTGGGTCTTCATCCCAGAACTGTCTGCATAACAGCTGTATGAGGTGAGGCAACTAACTCTTAGGTCCTTTCCACATTTAAAATTCTTACTCTAGGAAACCAAATAATACTCATCCTGTGTTGGCACAATTATTTCCACAACAGCGTATTGTGATTTTAAACACTTTATGTTTTTGCTGGGCATCCACACACAGAGAAACCAGAATACTGTTTGTACTGAAGCCCCATGAAATGTTGGAAAGTCAAAATTGAAAACTTAATAGAGTGTGACCACAGTGGTCCTTCCTCTTCTCGTGGGTGTTCCTCTCAGCATCTTGGAGTTCTCACAGTAGTATCTCCATGTGTCTTTTGCCCTGGCCATGTAGTCTTCCTAAGAGAAATTAATCTTACTAGCTCCTTGTCAACCCATATGACATAAAGTAAATTTATTTTTGCCTATATAATTTCTTGACTTTCCATATTTACTTCATGATACAATTGATGCGTTTGCATTTACTTCATAAGCTTGCACTTTGCCATCTATATAGCATACCACACCGGTTTTAAAAACTTAAACTTCACATTTAATACATTTTAAATTTGTGCTATGTATCAAAAAGTATAGATTTAATCCCAGCTAGTAGCTGATACCTGACAAATTATTTGTAATTAAGTTTTTTCATAATTATTCATTACATAGTTAATTTTGTATGAATAAGCTCTAAAGACAGCTTAGAAGCTTTTCTTTACTTTTTTTCAGTACATTGGAGATTAAATACTTACATTAGAAGAAAATATATTAGGAGGAAAATTGAAACAATAAAGATAATATTTATTAATTTATATTGTCTTTGAACTGATGACACGTGAACATTTACTGCATAAGAAAAGCTTTAGCTAGTCTTTGTCTAATGCTATGCATTAAATTGTAAAGTAACATGGGGTTGTGATTGCAATCATAGTGATAACTCTTAATGCATTTAAAATAATTAACTAAAATTAATTACACACAACTTTTGGAACTATGGTATTTATTTCTGTGTTGAACATCTGCATCCAAAACCAAAATGAAAACACACTTAAGCATCCTTAACCTGAAGTCATAAAAGTACCTGACGCATTGTAAAAAAGAGTTGCTTCACCTGAAGTTTATGAATAGGAGAAGCCAAATACATCTGTGTAAGAATACACAATAATTCAATTTGTACTATATCTAGTCATTTAAATATATATATAAGTAAAATAAATACATAAAATAACTGAATAATTTATATTAATTCATATATTTTGAAAATTGAATTCATACAATTCTTATAATTATGGGGTAAAAATAATTACTAGAACACTATAATATTTGTAATTTTGTTTTATTTGTGTTAGAAAATTACTATAAATATAAATGCCTTATAAATTTCTTCTACAAATATTAGAATCCACCACTATAATATTTGACAAAATAAAATTATACTTTAAATACTATTCTGTTATAGAAAGCATGGTTTCATTTTTAGGGCATTGCACCTGCTTCATTTTTTAAAAGATGCTGTGTTGTCTTACTGCTAAGATCACAGATTATCTGCTGTAACCCAACACCTTAGCCTCATTATTACAGAATATAAATTTCTCTGATATGAACAGTGGATTTATAACCCCGAATTATGGGATTTGTGGGTTTGTGAGTTCAAGTCACTATAGTTAACCTCTATTTGCTTGGCTACATGCTTTGGCTAATTGCATTTATGTATCCACAGAGGTTTTAAATGATGTATTATTATATTGGTTGTCATATTTCATGCAGATGGATCTTCCTGCTGAAGAACCTGATCGATTAAGCAACAAACTGTTGCAGTATGACCCTAGACAAGACCAATGGATAGAGCGGGCACCCATGAAGTATTCTAAGTACCGATTCAGTACTGCTGTAGTCAACAGTGAGATTTATGTTTTGGGTAAGAAGAAGCAAATTGCTAAAAGAGTATAACTACTTTTATTTTTCTCAGAAGTTTGCCTCAGTAAAAATGAAATATTCTTCCTCTTGCATTCTAGTTCAAATATATACATAATTAGCCATTTTTTTACTTGTATTTCTTGTTCTCTGGAGCACAGTAATAATATTAAATAAAAGTCCATTAACTTATTAAAAACAAAATTATCCTTATGGAATTTCCAAGTCCCTTTGAATATGAGAACAGTAGTGTTACATCCTAATATATGCTATCAAGAAAATTTTTCAAATGGGAATAAGAATTTGTTTACTTTTAATCAATGAAATGTGGGCTTTTGCAACAAAATATGATTATCTGTGCTAATAGAAGAGAAAGGCACCATAGGAGAGACAAAGCCACAGATCATGCCAATCCTCTTCATTATGCCTCTCCCACCTAATTTCTTTAGAGATGTTAACAAATAACTTTTATCTGAATGCATTTTTTTCTTATCAGTTAAATATGTGTGGTCTTATACTAGCCTGTAGGGGTTGGTGAAAGATTGCTTCATTCCCATAAAAAACCCTAGAACATCAATATACAGGGTCCAGCACAAATAACACTTCTGTTTACTACAAAATCATAAGTATGTAATTCTGTAACAACAATATCACACTCAAGCACAGCATATGGCATTTTAGATGAAATATTCAAATTAAAAATAAACATTATTACACTCATTACCCTACCAACCACATTGAAGCAGGCCATATTTTCCCTATTCTTTCTCTCTGTTTTTGCCTTTTATTATTAAGCCCTTTGCTCTTCTAAGCACATTCCATTTCCCTAACATCATCTTCTCTTTTTCTTAGTTTTTTCATTGCTTTTATTTTTTAAAATAAATATTTTATTGTTGTTCTATTGCAAGTATCCCGATTTTTCCCCTTAGCTCTCCTTCACCCATCCCACCCCCCACTCCCACAGACAATCCCCACCCTGTTATCCATGTCCATAGATTATCCATATATGTTACTTGACTAGTCCCTTCCCCTTTATTCCACCCTGATCCCACTTCCCCCTATCCTCTGGTGGCTGTCAATCTGTTCCTTGCTTCCATGCCTCTGCTTCTATTTTGCTCATTTGTTTTATTCATTGGGTTCCTTTATAAAATATATTTTATTGATTATGCTATTACAGTTGTCCTATTTTCCCCCTTTATTCCCTTCCATCCTTTACCCCTCTCCCAATAGCATTCCTCCCCCCTTATTCATGTCCATGGGGCATACACATAAGTTCCTTGGTTTCTTCACTTATCCCACACTATTCTTAACCTTCCCCTGTCTATTTTGTACCTATCATTTATACTTCTTATTTGCTGTACCTTTAACCCCATTTCCCACCCTCCCATACTCCACTGATAAGCTTCTATGTGATTTCCATTTTTGTAAATCTGTTCTTGTTCTAGTTGTTTGCTCAGTTCATGGTTGTTTCTGGTTTTTTGTTTGTTTGGGGTTTTTTTAGGTTCTGTTGTTGATAGTTGTGAGATTGTTGTCATTTTACACTTCATATTTTTTATTTTCTTCTTTTTCTTAAATAAATACCTTTAACATTCCATATAATAAGGGCTTGATGTTGATGAACTCCATTAACTTGACCTTATCTGAGAAGCTCTTTATCTGCCTTTCCATTCTAAATGAAAGCTTTACTGAATAATCTTGGATGTAGGTCTTTGCCTTTCATGACTTGGAATATTTCTTTCCATCCCCTTCTTGCCTGCAGGGTTTCTTTTGAGAAATCAGTTGATAGTCTTATGGGAACTTCTTTGTAGGTAACAGTCTCCTTTTCTCTTGTTGCTTTTAAGATTCTCTCATTGTCTTTAATCTTGAATAATGTAATTATGATGTGCTTTGGTGTGTGCTTCCTTGGATCCAACTTGTTTGGGACTCTCTGAGCTTCCTGGACTTCCTGGAAGTCTATATTCTTTGCCAGATTGGGTAAGTTCTCCTTCTTTATTTTTTCAAATAAGTTTTCAGTTTCTTACTTTTTCTCTTCTTCTGGTGAACCTATGATTTGGATGTTGGAATGTTTAAAGTTATCCCAAAGGTTCCTAAGCCTTTTGTCTTCTTGAATTCATCTTTCTTCATTGTGTCACGGTTGAATGTTTATTTCTTCTTTTTGTGCCAAATCATTGATTTGAGTTTTAGTTTTCTTCTTGTCACTTTTGGTTCTCTGTACATTTTCTTTTATTTCACTTTGCATAGCCTTCACTTTTTCATCTACTTTACAAACATACTCAACTATTTCTGCATGTGATAGGTTGGCTATCTCTTCATTGCTTAATTCTGTTTTTGGAGTTTTGATCTGTTCTTTCATTTGGGTCATATTTTTTTTTGTCAACACACCTGTTACATTGTAAGGGGTGGAGCCTTAGTTATTCACCAGGGTGGGGCAACCCACATAGCTGAGTTGAGGCCCTGTATGTGGGGAAAGGGACAGAGAGAGAACTATGTTGCTTGCTCAGCTCTCAACCGGCTTTCAGTCACTTCCCTTGCTACCCACAGGCAAACCAGTCCCTTCTGGTGCTGATTTTCTGATGTGTGGGTTTGTGTATGTCATGGTGGGCCATTCCAAAGAACTTTCCTGTGAGATTGGAGTTTCTCCCACCACCATAACCCCCACAAGTTTTTGCAGCCAGAGGTTTTTAGGCTTTCTTTTCCTGCACTAGAACCCTGGGTTGTTCGGTCTGTCTCCATCCCCAGTTGTTCCTCCAAGTTTATCCACATGCAAATATGGTACTGCCCAGTCTGCAAGTTGCTACCTCACCCTCCTGGTCTTCCAAACATGTGTCCTGCCTTGCCACACATCCTCTCTGCCCCAGCTACCCAACTCCACCCATCCTACCAGTCTGAATGAATGTTTCTTCTTTAACTCCTCAAATGTCAGACTTCTACACAGTTTGATTTTCTAGCAGTTCTGGGGTTTTTTTTAATTTTTTTATTTTCTTTCTTTTGGTTGTAGAAGAAGGTATAGTATATCTACCTACACCTCCATCTTACCTGAAAGTCTAAATGGCAGTGTTTCAATCAAGAAAAAAATAGGTGAGCCCTGGATGTTGTAGCTCAGTGGATTGAGCATGGGCCTGTGAACCAAAAGATCGAGGTTTGATTCCCCATCAGGGCACATGCCTGGGTTGCAGGCCAGCTCCCAGCAGGGGCCAGTTCCCAGGAGGGAATGCACTAGAAGCAACCATACATTGATGTTTCTCTCCTTCTCTCCTTCCCTTCCCTTCTAAAGATAAATAAATAAATTTTTTTAAAAATAGGTGAAACAGAAATGTAAGTGAATAAACCAAGTAGAAAGCCTTTTTCAGTAGTGTAGAATTTAATTTATGGATATTGAGAACTGAGGAAGCAAATAAATTTTACCATGTTTTAAGATTCTATCCAAAAAAAGTTAACTTCCCCAACATTTTATATGCAATTTTCAAATGTATTTATAAGCTTTGAAATTGAATGAAGTTCATTTTTTAGGTATTTTTGTGGTAGTCTTAGTTCAGATTTAGTGTTCATTGAATGTATAATTTGGGTAATTGGAACTTGGGCAAATATCACATAGAAACCTAGAAACTTATCAGTACCCTTTCAATGGTACCTTACAGTCACTTGTTAATTGTCTTAGCAAAAGCTCTGTCTGCTTTTGGGAATCTATGTGAGCCTCATTGTGACTGGGATCACTGTCAGTTAGTATAATAAGTGCTCTCCCTAATACCTATAATGGACTTAATTTCTTACTAACTGCTAGGTTGTCTACAGGCTACCCCAAAAGAGCAGCCACTGAAATCTTCACAATATAATCAGTACGGTAAAGTGAGGAAGATACTGTTACCAAACAAAAAACAGAAGTTCAACTGCCTTCTGCCACAAAAGCCAAATTCATAAGGCAGGTGCTGATGAAAAAGGAAAGATGTTTATTCAGGTGTCACACAACCTGGAACAATGATGGACTCCTAGCTCAAAGACCATCTCATCTTCCTGTTCAAGCTCACAGTTCTATATAGGGATAGGGAGGGGAAGGATTTTTTTCAGAACTCAATTATCTTTCTAGCTTTGGGGGTATTTGGGACCCTAATTATTTATCTTTCTACTTTTCTATGTGCTCTCAAGCCCTATCCATTCATATTTCTAGCTTTTGGAGTATTTGGTGTAAGAAGCTTCCCCTGCCACCATCTTGGCCAATGGATGGAGTCTCCCCTGGCACTCTGGATGACTGTTTTATGGTAACAATTCCCTCTTCAAAATTCTGGACCCTTATAATCTTACAGCTTAAATAGTTGAAGGTCTTATTCTTCTGTAGCTACTTTCTGCTAACAAAGAGCATAGTCTTACCTATCTCTGGGTCCAGAAATTCTTACCATATAACAAAGGAAGAGGGAGGGTATCAGGAATGGAAAGAAGCTTTTAAGTGAAGGAGAAGGATTGCTGTCTTTGACAGCACTACATGCATTGTTTAGAAGATGGCATAGCTGAACAAGTGAAGCTGGTGGACTGCTTCATGTTTCAAGAGACAATGTTGCAGATGGATTTTTAAAGTGACACCTACTGCACAGACAATCAGTCGAGAGTTTAGTGAAGTGTCATAAACTGGAGAGACTAAAAGATCCCATGATTTTACCCTGAGCAGGGTTTGGGTGGCATACCCAATGGCAGAATAAATTTCCAGGGAGCCACTGTCTGGGAAATGCAGAATAAAATAAAAAATAACATTGCCACTTAGCTTTGGAACATGCTATGCCTCTCCAAAAGGGGAATTTTAAATCTCTTTAAAGGAGAGCAAGTCCAGGGTTCCCTTTCAGTATGAATAGCAGCAACAAGATCTGAGTCCTCCTCAGGTGGTGCCCACTTTATTTATGTGTGGTGGATCCAAGGCTTGATTCCCATGAGCTTTATGAACAGGTCTGTTGTCAGAAGGATGTCATAGAGACTGATCCATTGCTCAGCCAACTGCTGTTCAGCACCTTGAGTCTT